AAGGCAGGAATGAGACAAAACAGTGACACTGGATCAGCTGATATGTGCTCCCAAGCAATACATCCCCTCCCCCTTAAAGTCCTCTGCCCATGTCCTATGCTTCCCTACAGGCACTCGCTAGCAAGCAGGAAATAGTCAGGCCCATAACATATAAAGTGATAACAGTTTTTTCTCAATCTATAGTATCCCCTTCTCCACGGAATGAGATGAAAGGAACCTCATAAGAAAATTATTCTATGCTTTCCCATTCCTGATCTCCAACCTAAAGTCTCTTAATAAAGTATGTCTAACATCTATTCCAGCTCTACACTTGATCCAATAAAAGATATCACTAAAAAGTAGTTGCCTATCACACCTACAACACTTTAACCCTTCTCCTGCAGAATATTCATTGGTAAGAGATAAATACAATCCTCTTTCCAGGGCGTAGTTGTTAGCATACAAAATATTTGCAAGGTTCTCTACATGAATACATCTTCTATTTTTTTTTCAGGACAAACTCAAAGCTGGAAATGCTCTGGAATTTTTGGGACTTGATAGAAAACAATTTGTATCACTTTGAAATTACTAGAGAAACCAAACAAGCACAATGTAGCATCTTCTGTATATCTGCAGTGTGTTGTGCATACCTACACACAGGCAAACATATGTTTCTACTATATTAATGTCAAATAAACTCTGCCAATAAATGATTTACTGTTACTGATTGTAAAAGCAAGGGCACTGGAAATCTGGGGATTTCTCTGCATCCTGAGAACTTAGGTTAGACCTAAGGTCTTTGAGGATCCTTCTTTCCTACAGAATGGGAGAGGTCATTGCTTCCAGCTGTTATAACCCACTGGACTTGAATCAGCACTCTTGGAAAGCTAACTCACGGATTATGAATGCCACACCTTTTTCAGTCTTTGTTACCTAGGAAGCCTAATGAACACAGTTTGAGTGCCAACACTTGCCTACATATATCACTGCTCATTGTTTCATCAGAAATATCCATATGAATGTGTCCTGGACTATAAGATCTTTAGGGCATAAATCATGTTCTCTTATTTGTGTGGAAAGTGTTTTGCACATTACTGACATTACCAGAACAAAAATAAATAAAGAACAACAAACAGCATGGTTTGATGTTCCATTCACTTAAAACAGGTATTTCACAGGAGGCTCCATGTTCTAAACAGAAACACACATTAACATTTTTATAACATTGTACACCTAGGAATTATTCCTTAGGATATGGTACCCTTTATCTAGGAAGTCCTAGTTTTCTAGGCTGCTGAAAGGTAGGTTGTTTCCTACATTGACATAGGTTTAATCTACGTTGCTTCTCCAAGAAGCCTGTATGAAAGGCATGAACTTCAGAAGCCCTAAAGGTGTGCAGCACCTCATAAGACCAGGTATTGACAGATGGGCATCATACGTCTATGTAGAGAAGGAAGGCAAAGTGGGTAACATGACTTTAGTTAACTTTCACTGTACTGTGACCTACAAGCGCTTCACTTGTTGTTCCATGACTAGAGGACGTGAAAGACAAAGTACACTGTCTTTTCCTTTCAAATGTTTCTGTCCTTTAAAGTTTGTAAGTGTATAGTTCTACAATTATTTTATACAAGTCTTCAATTATTTGAGACTATTTATCCACCAGGATTTCCAATCAAGGCTGTCTAGGTGCTCACCTATTGGCTACATACAGTCCATGAGGGCTAAAATGGTGATATGCAGGCTCCTGCCTCGCTGCCACTCCTCCCACTGCTCCTAACGCTGCAGTGGCAGCCAGTCTTTGGGGCAGGGCAGCACAGGAGATGGGGATATACTGCCCATACCCCTGCTGCCCACCAGGTGAAAGAGGGGGCTTTGCTGCTTGCACAGTTAGGGCAGTGAGGTGGAATGAGAGAGCACCTGCATGGCAGTGGTAGTGGGGAGGGGCTCACATGAGGTGCAGGGGTGGGGGGGCTGCACATGGCAGGGGTCACAGGAGACTGCATGGCATGAGGCCCCCTGCAGCATGTGGCACATTTAGTGTGCGGCTTGGGACCTGCAACTGGTGCAGCCTGTGACTCCCAGCTGCTCTGAAGCTGGACAGAACAGCCCTGTTTTAAGAAAACTTCAGGGGGGAAAGAGGCATCTTCAATTTTAGACAGCGTCTCTTCCTCCTGACCTTCCCACCAACTCTCTTTGATTCTTTCAGATGTTTGAATAGATTTAGGGGAAAAAAATAAGTCTTAATTGCTCAAATACATTTTAATCAGATTAATCCATTCTTAATTAATTTTCCTTTGCAAAACCCTTGATCTATCATATTAGCGAGAATACACTATTTATGTCTTTTGAGACTGCCGGCTAGAACCTCTCCAACAACAAGAAAACATATTTGATTACATAAACCGTTACTTAATGATCACAGAATTCTTCATGGTAATTAATTAATGTGGCCTCTGAAGAGGTACAGCATTGTGTGTGTTAGATATAAAATAAGATCTATTATTACTGAATAAAACTATTTATGCTCGATGCCTTTGGCTCGGATTTTGCAGCCTATGGGGCAATCCCCTCTTTATCTCCTCCTTTTTAATATATATTTTAAAGTGAATATTGTCTAAACGGATCTTGAAGAGAAAATGAACTTTACAAAATAATTATGCCAGGCACAGCCAGTCCTCGGACTTATGACACAATTGGTTCCTGAAAACCGCCTCTTAAGTCGAAACGTCGTAACTTGGAACCAATTCTCCCATAGGAACAATGTTATAAATGGGGATGGGTTCCTGAACCAAGGCCCGATACCCTATTTTCACCCAAAACAACCCAGAATTTTGTACTCAATCAATTATAGATGAGTAACGTAGCTACATTAATGTATTAACATTGTAAATAGCAATCCTGTTGATTTGGAAGGACTTCTTTGAGATGACTTGGCTGGACCTTTTGACAGGCTCTCGGTTGGACATTTTCAAGGGCTCTTGGCCAGAGTCTCCTCAGGAGTCTCGGCTGCAGGTTTTTCCAGAGTCTCATTTGCTTTCTTAAAGAAAAAGCGTCCAAGGAAGTTTGCACGGACGTTCTCCAGGGAGACGGGCGCCACGGCAAACTTGTTCGCTGGCGCCCGATCCACCATCGAGTCTAACCTGACCTCAGAAAGCCAAAACGGGGTGGGTCTGAAGTGCAAAACATCTTAACTCAAAACGTCCCCAAGTCGAGGACCTCGAAGACATGTGCCAGGCACGTTATACGACTTCCACCAACAATTCTCCAAGGAAGCATGAATCCGATTGTGATACAACAGTTGGAAAAATCTCCCCTGTCCAAGACGGGAGCTCCCAAACCTTCCAGGTTGAAAACATGAGGGGTGCTAGGGCCGCACGCGCGGGGCTTTGGCCACAAGAGGCGTGACCCCGCATCCCTGCTCCTCAACCCTCTAGGCTCAAGGCCCCGCCTCCAAATATCAAGGGCGGGGCCGTGGGGGCGGGACCAGCGCCAGGACAAAGACCGCGAGGCCAAGCCCCGCCCCCTGCCTCCGCGAGTTCCCCCCCCTGCCCAATCCGCGCTGCTGGAAAAGGGCTTGGACGTCATTTCCGGAGTGTCTTCCAGCACTGCCCCCCTCACCGGCCGAGCGGTCGGGAAGAAAGGAGGGGTGTCTATACCCTTTCCGCGCTTCGTATGGCGCAGCTGTGCCACGTGATCATCCCTCCCCGCGCGGCGCTCTGGCCTCGCTGCCTCGCCACTCTATGATGTCAGCGGATTAGACGGCCGCCAGGCGCCGAGTTCTCGCGAGAGCAGCATGGAGGGCGAGGCGACGGGC